TTTCTTTACTTTTCTTTTTTCATGCTTTCCTTTGATGTGTACCTGCCATTTATAGAGGAAGCATACACTACATATCCTACTGCAGAAAATTACAGACGTGAGAAAGGAGCAGGGGTGGATTTAGAAAGGAATTTTGCAGTCTATCAAGTTGTGACTAATGGAAGCTATTAAAACAAAATGTACCAAGGATACATCATAAATCTTCACTCCCTCTACAACTATATTTTTTATAAATGTTATCCTTTGGCTGCCCTGAGGTGGAGGGAATGGTGCTCAATGTCTCATTAAATAATGCAAAGATCTCCCAAGACAGGTGATATCTCTTACTATCAAGAGAGCGAACCACTGAGAATGCACACTGACGAGTATGGAGCATGCCCCAACACCACAAGCACCACGCTGCATGAAAGCTGACTTCCAAGAAAAGTATGTCATACTGGTGAAAGGCAGAATTTTAGGGCAGTCTCACCTCTTGGCTCTGTGGCTCCAGATTGAGAACAGTCTGTTACTGAAAGAGTCATCCATCCTTGGAAACCGTTCATGCATGGTCCGTTAACGCTTCTATACTTCAAACATGGCGGGGAAGAGTGAGGACTTTATAATGAAAATTGGTCTTCTCCCTCTGGTCCGCTTTCAAGTCAGCATTCAGTTGTAGGGCCTGCAGAATTTCTACCACTCACTACTTGCTTCCTTTTTTCAGGGTTAGGCCCCAGAATGCTGGAATATACTCCCAATAGGGCTCTCTTCTAGTTTCTCCTGCTCAAATCCATTCTATACATTGTCGGGAGAATGGTATCTCATAAAACTCTTCAATCAAGTACCTTAAAAAAGGCTTCCCATTGCCCATAGAATAAATTTTTGGCATGCAATTTCCTTAATGATCCTCAAACTACCTTCCCAAGTTAACTAACTTCCCATTAGTTTCCTTTGTTATATTCTCCCCAGCTTCTTATGTCTAAACTTACTTAGTTTCTTCTGCTGCTTCCTTCAAAGAGTTGTATGATGATGATGAGTTGGAACTTAGACCTAGTATAAGATTTTTTTTTTTTTTTTTTTTGAGACAGAGTCTCACTCTGTTGCCTGGGCTAGAGTGCCATGGCGTCAACCTAGCTCACAGCAACCTCAAACTCCTGGGCTCAAGCGATCCTCCTGCCTCAGCCTCCCGAGAAGCTGGGACTACAGGCACGCGCCACCATGGCCGGCTAATTTTTTTTCTATATATTTTTAGCTGTCCAATTAATTTCTTTGTATTTTTGGTAGAGATGGGGTCTCGCTCTTGCTCAGGCTGGTCTCGAACTCCTGAGCTCAAACGATCCACCCGCCTCGGCCTCCCAGAGTGCTAGGATTATAGGCGTGAGCCACCGCGCCCAGCCGTATAAGATATTTTATTTGATCAGAAATAATTTATGACTAAGTATCTGGAATCACTGTGGCATAAAACATTTATAAGCGTATACACACATATATACACACATACACACATGCTCACACTGTTAAAACTATCTTTTTCTATGGCAGATGATAGAGTGGCATAGAGAAATGCAATTCTTTACAGTTGAATTGCAATATTTTTCTCCAATAAATGCATCTATTTTTCTCCAGTAAATTATTATATTATAAAATCATATCTACTCATATTTTGTAAACTAATCACTCTCAAAGTGAATTGCTATTTAAAAGCCATCTTTGGCTGAGCACATGGCTCAGGCCTATAATCCCATAATTCCAACACTTTGGGAGGCCAAGGCAGGGGCATCACTTGAGGCCAGGAGTTTGAGACCAGCCTGGGCAATATGGAGACCCCCATCTTTACAAAAAAGATAGAAAAATTAGCTGGGCATGATGGCATGCACCTGTAGTCCCAGCTACTCAGAAGGCTGAGGCAGGAGGATCACATGAGCTGAGCAATTTAAGGTTGCAGTGAGCTATGATGAGGCCACTGCTCTCTAGCCCGGGCATGAGAGAGTGAGACTCTGTCTCAAAAATAAACAAAATAAATAATAAATAAGCACCATCTCTGACAAAATTTTTGTATATTAAAAACTGTATGACATATCTTGTTAATCGAGACTATCATATATTGGGCTAACATTATTGGGGAAAATATATGCCATCATTATTAGTGAGAAAGAGTTTCCCTACCAATTTTTAGAAGTAGAAGGGATAAATTAACCAGAAATTTTAAGGAGGTAAGTTTTAACTCACTGGAGGACTACACCAAGTCTAAACATTTGAGGAACCCCAGTGGAAAATTGGTTTTCCTGTGTGCAGCTCCAGTAATCTGGGAAAGGCTAAAACAAAGCCAGTGGCCTCTTAGCCCAGCAGTACAAGCAATGACCTCATGGAGCGGTCAGTTTGTCAGGAGGATTTATGGAGAATCTAAGGTCAAGTGCCACTTTCAGCCCCACAGCAGGGCACTAATTAAGCCATGCCAGAAGGTTCAGTTTATAGAGGTGAAGTGACTGTGGATCCTTTCTTCTCTCTAAAATTAGCAATAATTCAGCTTTCACGCAGATGCCAAATTATCTCAAAAGACCTACAGACTCAATATGAGTCTTCAGTGTAATAATTACAGCTGACATAGTTTTAGATCTCACGGGGTGCCCGCACAGATTTTATGTGAATTATCTCATTTAGTCTTCATAAAAACTCCATTATTAATATCATTTCACAGATGGAGGAATTGAGGCACAGGGAGGGGGTAAATAACTAAACCAAGCTTTCGAGGTTAGTAAGTGGCATTGCCGGAACAGAATCTGCCACCAGAGTCTATGTACTTTATCACTGTGTAAAGCTTGATAACCTTATGTTGGAACAAATAAATCACTGCAACATATTCTGCTCAGTAGTTTGCAAAATGCTCTGACCTCCTTTTTACCTGCATAGGGGAGATGGCTGAGCTTTGGAGTCATTAAACTGAGGTTCAGAGCCATGAGGTGATTTGCCCAAGGTTTACCTACTAGATAAGGTTTAGCTGGCTAGATATCTAGTAGCTAATAGGGCTAGAACTTGAAACCAACTAGATGATGGAGCAAGAGCTTAAAACAAAATCTTGTGAACTCAGAATTCCTGGTTTAATTAGATTCAGAAAAAGTCCCCGGGACATTTCACTGTCTATCCAGAAATGTGTGGAAGTTGGGGAACAAAAGCAAAGTATCTTATAAATAGATAAAGGCAGCTTAGTAAGTAATTTCAGTAGATCTGTGACACACAGCCTGAACTAATGGTCACATTTACAATCTATTTTTGGTTCTTTAGTGCCTAACACAATTGACTTTACGTAGGTATCTATTTTCTGCATCCCCCACCTTCTCACTCTCTCTGTGTAAAATATATCAACTCATCTACCAATTTTTAATTTAAACAGAAACATGCTGGATTCATATATTCAATTGATTTATTAAGCAAATATTTACTGAGGCCCACACATGTGCCTGACTGTGTACTAAGCACTGGAAACCTAAAGAGAATGAAGTCACTGCCTGGACAGGTGGAGACTGACGCATATTAATACAAGCAGGGCTATAATCAATGTCATAACTGCTCTATTAAATATGAGGCTAAATTAGGGCCTCTAACCTGCAGAATTCAGTGCCCAGGCTAGGAAGGATACAGGAACACTTTCCAAAGAAGTACACAGGACAAACAGGTGTTTAGGAAACTAATCAATTTCCAGGTCCTCAACCAGTAGTGACCTGTGATTCTATTTTGGTCAAATGTTTTAAACCTTTCTTGTTTTGATATCAAGTGTTTTAAACCTTTGATGTGTGATATACTTCCCCAAATCAAATTTCACATTCTAAAATTAAGTCTTTTTTTTTTTTTTTTTTTGAGACAAGAGTCTCACTCTGTTGCCTGGGCTAGAGTGCCATGGCGTCAACCTAGCTCACAGCAACCTCAAACTCCTGGGCTCAAGCGATCCTCCTGCCTCAGCCTCCCGAGTAGCTGGGACTACAGGCATGTGCCACCATGCCCAGCTAATTTTTTCTATATATTTTTAGTTGTCCAGCTAATTTCTTTCTATTTTTAAATAGAGACTGGGTCTCGCTCTTGCTCAGGCTGGTCTCCAACTCCTGAGCTCAAACGATCCACCCGCCTTGGCCTCCCAGAGTGCTAGGATTATAGGCGTGAGCCACAGTGCCCGGCCATTACTCTTGAATACAAGTTTCTTATAACTCTGGAGATCATACCATTGGACTAGGTAAAAACTTCCAAAACTCTAACAAAAAACTGATGCATTCATGAAGATTGCTAACCCAACATCGAGGTGATCAAGAATTAATTACATGGAGCTGAAATGATTTTTAATGGCTTTTTGTTTGAAACATCGCTGATTCTTTTTGCTTTCCAGATTCAAGAAAACTTTTTTTTCTTTTGCGCTATCTATAGCTTACAGCAATTAGGTAAAGTATAGTTTTGTAGCAAAATTGAAACATTTACCTTTCTTTCTACCTGAATTCTCCAGAATTTGGAAACTATTCATTGGCATTCTTATTTTATGACAATATAGTTACTTGCATTAGTTCAGTAAAAATCTGTTTTCCTTTGTACCAGGACACGTTGGAAACAGTGGTTATTTTGCCAAGGCTTTGACTGGAAAGTCATATTTCCAAATGTGACCAGGCTGCTTTGAGGGACTGAGGTTGACCTTTAAAGACAACACACTTGGAAAAAGACTGGCCTGGGAGCTTGTCTTCATGATTCCCTTACAGGGTTCTTGACCTTGCAGTAAGTGAAGAATGTCACTTTCTGACAGGCCCAGGAACTTCAAGATATTTAGAGGACCTCAAGAAGAGAGGAATTCACTGACTTTATACTGTTACAGGCACAGTCTGATGGAAAATCCTTGGCATTGCTTTCTAGCCTTGACAGGCTTTCAAAAGCCTAATGTGAGATTCCTTATGAAAAAGTTCCAGCAAAGCCAACTTAAAATGAGCCTATATCCCCATTCTACTACACTTTACGCAAATAATCAGGCCAAGGGAGTTTTGTGCTGGCGCTGTGCGGACACCTGTGAGGATGGCTTGCGCAGCCGCGCGGTCCCCAGCCGACCAGGACATGTTTATTTGTATCTATCCTGCCTATTTAAATAATAAGAAGACCATCGCAGAAGGAAGGCGGATCCCCATCAGTAAGGCTGTTGAAAATCCTACAGCTACAGAGATTCAAGATGTATGCTCAGCAGTTGGACTTAATGTATTTCTTGAGGTAAGTCAGTAATGTTGTACGCAGCGGAAATGATACCTAAACTAAAAACAAGGACACAAAAAACAGGAGTTGGTGACCAAAGTCTTCAGCAAGGAGAGGGAAGTAAAAAAGGGAAAGGAAAGAAGAAGAAGTGACTTACTATGAGCATCATTTATGTGATAGTACTCCAAGAGCCATGAATGGAGGCTTCTAATTTGCATCTGAGAGAAGCAGAAGCTCTTTGTTTGCATTATTTTACTGAACTATGCACACTTGCGCCTCCCATCATCATCAGAGTTGACAGTGAAATAAATGTACATCAGAACTTTGCATCTAGCTTTTATGCAGTAAAAAAAATATTTTTTTTGTCTTTCAATGTAGAGTTTTTGTGGAAGGAAGAATTTTTTTTTTTTTGTTTCAGCATATTGTGGGGGTACAGATGTTTGGGTTACATATGTTGCCCTTACCACCACCACCCCCCCTGCCAGAAGAATATTTTTAAATGGACAATGGACTATACAATAAGTTACTTGAAATCCTGTATTTGTTTGTCTTCTATGTAAATGTATGTTTCAGATAAGTTTAATGAGATTTGAAATACACATTTTGTTCACCTTTTAAGTTAATGAAATAAAATTTGGAACTGACCAAAAAAAAAAAGTGGATTTTATATGGCAACCAGCGATGACTAGCTCAGTGGTTGGACTCAGAAGAAGCTCCAAAGCACTTCCCAAAGCCAAACTTGCACCAAAAAAAGGTCATAGTCACTGTTTGGTGGTCTGCTGCTGGTCTGATCCACTACAGCTTTCTGAATCTCAGTAAAACCATTACATCTGAGAAGTATGGTCAGTAAATCGATGAGATGCACCAAAAACTGCAATGCCTACAGCAGAGAGGGC